CTACGCAGTTGCTACTGAGATTCAAATGACAAGTGACAATAGCCCATGAAGGCCCAGGTTGCAGGGCCGTGCCTTCATGTCACAGGCATCCCAACAGCGGGTGTGTTAGAGCAACGCAACCTGCAGGCTCCAGGTTGTACGGCTGGTCCACGTGGACTCCACCCAGCGTACTTCCTTCAAAAGTGGAAAGAAATAGTAGGAGAGGTCTGTAATCTCATGACAGTATTAATAATTTTAGCACCAACAGTGGAGAGAAATGTCTTCCTCCAGAACTCTACCAAGTGGAGTGGTGCTGATCTGGACAGAGATGTCTCATGGGTTGTGTAGCTGGACTCTAGGAGCACCAGGTTCCCCAGATCCTACATATGAAGGGTTAAGTTGACCCCGTTTTCTAAGACTCAGAGGGGATGAGAGTATTTGTATGAAGAATATAAATTTGCTATTGATGCCACTTCAGAAAGTCAATGTCCAAGTCATCCGTTGGCGAAAAATAGTCTAGGATCGTCGCCCCCATGACCTCACTGAGCTTGCTTGTCCCCAGTGCTCCATGGGAAAGACACACTGCTCTGGTCTCTGTCCCAGCACCACACACTCTTGCTGGGACACACGTTTCCGCCTCACATCAGCAGCCCCTCTGCTGCCTCTCTGACTAGCCCACCCTTCCCTTTGAAGCCTTCGTGTAAGTGGCCGTCTTTTCTGCACAACTTCAATTTTCTTGCCAGTAACTGCAAAATCGCAGGCAACCACCCTTGTTCCTAGTCAGACACATATTTTCCTTCAATATCACTTGCTTTATTTCCATTCCATTCTTTTGTTTTTCTGGAATTCCAATTTCTTGAATTGTCTTACCATGTGCCTCACATACCAGGTAAAGATGGCATGAAATTGCATCAATTCATTCTTTAATCCTTTGTTGAAAAACTCAAACTACTGCACGTGAAACAAGCAGATTTACCAGAGTTTCGGGTCAGTAAATGTGAGATACTTTCATACTTGAGTCTCGCACCCCAAGCGATTCATAACCCAAAAGGCAAAACAGACAACCCCCTTAACTGTCAGTCACTCACTGAGAAGAATCCCAACAAAACCAGCATTCAGATCAGCTCTCCACGATACCCTGCATGTTCGTGAACCATCTCTTTTGAATTTGCAACTTTGGAATGCTCAGAGTAGCCTGAAGCTATTAACAGCAGTAAAATTAAAATTAATTTGGGAATGTACAGAAGAAACAAGTTGAATAAATTATTCCTAATTAGGGCCTGAAACAAAGTTGGCACTAAATAAATTTTTGTCAGAAAGGAGGAACAGAAGAGAAAGAGAAAAGAATGGACGGAGGGAAGGCAGGATTAAATATATATTAAATCCCTCTTTTGAAAAACATATTCGGTTAAGTCATACGAAGTTGCCATTTTTGTAGGTCAGAAACAGTTGAATATTGGCAATTTGATATGGTTCAATCTAATAATAACATCAGGAGAACTGCTAGACATCTGAAAAAGATGTCCTTCCAAATGCTGAATCGTCCATTCCCCACTTAAACTCCTTCTTCCAGGCTGATGGATCTGTAGGTATTTGCATATCCCACAAACATTCAATCAACCATATTGCAAACCACACCTTCACTGTGGAAACACCAGGCACCTTCCTCCCAGAGCCTGAGATATGTAGTCAGTTCTACTTCAGCTAATGGAAAGGAATGAGCTCCCACATCTGAAAAGAATGCCTTTCAACAGAATGTCAAACTGAACAGAAATTGTTTACTCCAGAATTTGCTTCGACCACCCCATCTGTGGCAAGGCCTGGGTGGACCACGTTCACATTCTTGCTTTGTTGTCTACAAAAACATGGGTGTGCCAAAAATTGTGCAAACCCCATGACATATGCCACAGAATATGAATCATTTTACCATTCAAATACCAGAAAGGAATCTTAATAGCCATCTAATTATAGGACTCGAGCAGGCTGGATGGAGCCCTGCCTCCTCTTACTTCTCCCTCGGAGATCAGGAGTCCCCAGAGGACAGCGCCCCTTCCCTGGCAGACGCTGTCCCACCGGCCTCCTCACCAACCTGCCTCCACTCGCCCAACTGCTACAGATGGCCAACCTGAAACAAGACCATCCCAGGAAGCTGCACCCAGCCTCAGTCTACCTACCTGGGAGATAGAAAACGCCTACCTAGCAACCTCCTTACGGGGACCAGGAAGATGGCCAGGTTAACCTACTTTCACAAACCATAAAGTGCTTTTGAAACTGCTGGCTGTCATCTATGTGACGTCTCCCCACAGCCCTTGGGCAGGTCACCTCTGGGCCCCCCCCATCCACCTCCCCCACTCTATCTCTGGCCAGGTCTCCCCAGTCTCGATGCCAGCAGGTGGACACCACCGGCCTGCAGTTGAGCCCACTCGCCTCCCAGCTGCCTCTGTCCTGGGTAAAGTATCAGTAGAAACCCTGGAGCAGCAGACTTCTTCCCATATACCCTGAAAAAGGCTGGGTCCTCTTAACCTGATTAAATCTATGAATTTTGTATGTGAAAAGAAGGCCTTTAAATGGGTTTTCTAAGATGAAATTTCATCACTACTCTCCCTGTGACATAGCTTTTGTCAAGTATTTGGAAAATGAAGATAGTAATAATAATACCAATGGAACTCATGGAGTTTTATAAAAAATGGGATCATGAAGTGAAATCAAGTTAAAAGTGAAAAGTTCTCTATAAATGCATTACGTTTATGCCTGCACTCTGATGAAGGCGGAAGAACCAATCACTTTTACATTGTAGTGTAGTTGTCCATTGCTTGAAACATGCAATTGCTTTATAACGCTGATACATGCAGACATTATGCGCCCCACCTCAGCGAGATCCACTCCTGCAGCACCACGGACACGGGTAGTGCCTGCTCTTCGCCGGCCGGAGCACAGCAGCACCACCTCGCCCACCACCACCCCGAGCAGGGGAGCCACCTCAGTCCACAGAGTCCAACCTGCAGCCCGAGCTGATGGTCCCAGAGCCCTGCCGTCCACACCCTCTGCTCTCTCTCTGCTCTGGCCACCACTCTCTCAGCTGCTCCTCCTAAGCAGAGTCTGTGCTGAGGCTTGACTTAGCGCTTGTCTCAGCAGCAACTATTCCAAATTTATTTTGTCCTACGTTTCCCCTTGATAAAGCTCTCTAATGTGTTTTACACATTAGAGTCTTTCTTTAAGATATTATTTAGCTATTATTGACAGTAAATAATTTTAAATTTCCTTTTCTTCAAGTCACATTTGACATAACTGGAATCGGGACTTTGGAAAAAATTTATTTAAAAATGAAAGTAACATTTATTATGAAAGTGATGCACAAAACTGGCATGTTAAAAACAGCAAGATGCTTGTGTGCTGTTGGTGTGAATGTAAAATTGTGCAGCTGCTGTGCAACACAAGATGGGGTTCCTCAAAAAATTAAAAACAGAAATACCAGATTATACAGCAATAACACTTCTTGGTATTTATCCAAAATAATTGAAAGTAAGGACTTAAACAGATACTTACACACCTATGTTCATCGCGGCATTATTCACAATGGCCAAAGGTCGAAATGACCCAAGTGTCTGTAGATGGAGGAATGGATGAACAAAATGTGGTGTTTCCACACAATGGAATAGTATCCAGTCTCAAACAGGAAGGAAATCCTGACACCTGTTACAACATGGATGAACCTCAAAGACTAATTTATGCTCAGTGAGATAAGCCAGACACAAAAGGACAAACACCTTATGATTCAACTCACGTGAGGTCCCTAGAGGAGTCAAATTCATAGAGACAGAAAGCAGATGGTGGTGCCAGAGGCTGAGGGAGGGGGGAAGAGGGACTTATTATTTCATGGGGACAGAGTTTCAGTTTGGGAAGATGAGAAAGTTCTGGAGATGGATGGTGATGATGGTTACACAATGATGTGAATGTCTTTAATGCCACTGAACTGCACACCTAAAAATGGTTAGGATAGTGATTTTTATGTTATGTGTATTTTACTACAATTAAGAATAAAATTAAAAAATGAAAAAAAAATTTAAATAATGTTACTGACAGTAAGAATATTAAATAAGATTCTATGGGCTTGCTTGCCCTAAAACTGCTTCATTTACCTATTTTTAACTAGTTTTAAATAAATTTCATTTTAACAAAGGGAAACAATATAATTACTGTAAATGGATAAAAATGTTTAAAAACTCTAAATGTTAGAAATATAAAAATGAGCTATTTTAAAATTTTGCTTCTCAAAAACTTTGCAAGGAAAAAAGTATGTCTGTTTATGGTCAATGTGTGAAAATTCCAATAAGGAGCCCAGGAACTCAACCCCTGATGTTTCTTAGGTGGTGGAGCGACAGCCTCCGTATCTCTCAGGAGGAAGAAGGAACGGAGGCAGGCAGTGCCTCTGGCGGGATGGAGCCCCCACCCCCACCGCGTTTCCCTGATGGGACGATAACGCTGGATCTTACTAGGCCGTTTCCAGGCTGGCTCTAAGAGGCCCTAATATGGGTGGCATTGTGTGTCATGGTCATTTGGAATCTGGAATTGTTCTAGAAGCATCCTGACTCGTCTGGGATCCTAGAAAGACTTGGTTCTGCAACCTTTGGAGGCAGATATGTGCAGTCGATTCCCAGGACAGCTATTCCTCTTGAGGAGGCAACTGGACCCTGCCTCAGCTGGTCAGTCATCAACCATCGGAGGAAAGGCCCAGAAGCAAACTGTGAGCAAGGATGGGGCCCCGGGCCGAGGCCAGTTAGGGCACATCAATCAGAAGGCCAGTGGGCCAGGGCTTCCCGTGCTGCGATTCCACCACCTCGGAGGGAATTCATTCTCTCGCTCTCTGCAAAGTCTAAGTTGCGACACAAACATTAGGTTATTTTTTATTGAAGAATATTCTGTTTAACTTTACCAAATCCTGTGCAGAAGTGCTGGTGCCATTTCCATTTTTCCAATAAGGAGGATCCCTTGTGAGGAGCAGGGGTACCTCCGAGCGTGAGCGCACGTGGACGCAGCGGAGCGGCATGCGGAAAGAGGACGCCTGAACCCCGTCCGCCCTGGCCCAGGCTCCGTCCTTAGGCTCCTCCCAGCGGCCCGGGCACCGCCCGCAGGTCAGCGGTTATTCGGCTAGAAACAGCTGAAGTTTGCCATCCAAGGTGGCTGTGGCGAGCTGTGATTGAAAATAAAATGCCATGTGATGTCAATCACCTTTCATTCACTGAGAAACCTATGAGAAGAGTGAGCTTACAGTGCACCTTATCTTATTTGTAATTTTTTAGACTACAGCACAAAATGCATTGAAATAGTAAAATCTGTATAGACGACAGGTATATCTTTATACTTGATTAATGCAAACATTTCATTGCTATTCTAATATCTCTGGGGGCCGTGGTCAGAATCAATCTGTCTACAACTGCCCAAAAGAGGGCGCGATGTCCTCTTTCAATTCTGCATACTCTCCACCAGTCATGAGAGCTCAGTGACAGATGGCATCACTTCAGCTTCCTGCTGTCATTTGTGATGGGGCCTCACATGCAGGGAGGGCCCAGGAGGTCATGAGGTTGAGTCCCCACTCCTCATCCACTCCTGCCCAGGGTGGGAGGGCGGCCCAGTCAGTGGGTGGTCAGCACAAAGAGCAAGGCAGGCGTGGTTCCTGCCCCGGATTTCTGATGGGGTCAGCGTGGCAGAGCCACTGCCAGCCAGCATTAGTCCCATGAGGCAGGGTCTACATTTTGAGGGTGAGTCAGAAGTGCCAGCAAGCTCTTTTGCCAGCTGTCTTACACAGCTCCAGCTTCCGTAACGAAACACCACAGACTGAGGGGCTTAACAACAGAAGTTGATTTTCTCACAGTTCTGGAGGCTAGAAGTCCGAGATCAGGGTGTCAGCATGGTCAGGTTCTGGGGGAGGCCCTCGTCCTGGCTGTGGACGGCAACCTTCTCACTACCTCCTCGTGTGGCCCTTCCACCTCAGGTGTTCACAGAGAGAGATCTCTCTTCCTCTCATAAGGCCACTAATCCTATCAGATTAGGACCCCACCCTTACGACTCATTTAACTTTAATTACCTCCCGAAGGCCCTGTCTCCAAATATAGTCACATTGGGGGTCAGGGCTTCAACATAGGAATTTGAGGGGGGTGGATGACACAGTTTAGTCCACAGCATCAGACACAGGCCATGCATTCCTGTTTTGCTTTCTCAGCAGCAAAGGTGCGTGTGGTCTTCCATCTGCCTGATGCCGTGTGTAACTCTGTCAGAGGGGAGAAACAGCGGGATGTGCTGACCTGAAATCCCAGCGTGCACCTCCCACAAGGTCTCAGGTTGGCTTTCAATGTCCTAATTACCCAAGCCCTGGACAGGCTTATTTCAGAGACCCTCATCTCTTTTCCCCAAAGAGTAGTGGATTTTATTTTAAAAATACAATGGGGTGAGGGCCATTTTCATCAGATAGATTAAAAAACAAATCAATACAGCGATTTTCATTCTAAAGGATAAGGAAGCAATTACAGAGTGCATGGCTTGAATTCTCTTAGGATTAGGAACAGGTTTCCATAACAAGGACCACAGTGGTCTGACACACATGCTAGCTTCTCAACTTATCAGGGTAAGTGTTCCCTTTGCCAAACGATTCGACATGGAAATATTTTAACAGTAGTAACCTTAGCCATGTCCATGACTTCAGCTGTCATTTCTGTATGGACCATGAGTGAGTCTGTTATTTTGATTTTTTTAAGTGCCTCTCAAGGACCTCCGGATCTGCACTGAAATTCTATATTATAAAATGTTACACTATGTCACCACTTGGATATCACAGGGAAACTTCAGATCCAATTAACTCATACTCGTCCTACCCAAAGAAGATACTGTAACCCTCATCCTTCATATGATATAACATCTGGATTAATCTTTGAATTTTCTCTTCATTCAAATAACACGCTCAGCACCGACTACTTTACAACATCGCCATCTGTCACTTTCCACTGCCTCAGTGTTGCCCTCTCCCACTACATTCACACAGCTGCCATATTAGGCTGAGTCATTCTTATCTCATGCAGGGATCATGGGAACTGTGTCTTAGCTCTGGCCCCAGTCCCATCCGCCCTCCTTCTACATCTGCCAATATATTTTCCTAAGTCATTGCCTTACTCCCTTTAGTATTGTGGCCAAGAATTTAAGCAAACTTCGTTAGCCATCTGAAGGTCAGGCTGCCTGTGATCTTGGGTGCAGCATCCCGTCCACACCTGGCCTCTCTGGTGTCTGCACCCACTGGGACGCACCTCTCCTTTGGCACCCTGGTGTGTGTGGTGGCTGGGCAGCCGGATTTCCAAAGTCTTCCACAGTTGGCCCCTCCTGCCTTTCTCCTTTCACTCATTCGTATTGTTATTAAGCAAGGTAATAAAATACAGTTTGTATCTTTGAACTGATGTTGTTTTGACATCTTTGTCAACATTTTGGTATATGAACCTCCAATAGGTTGAAGCCAGGGCACATTGCATCCACCAGCTGGATAAAGAGGACACGAGAGGCAAATGTGTGGATTTGTGACCTTTGATTTATAAAAGCCTCCATCTCAGAACAGGTAAAATATCTGGAATAAAACAGTCAATAGGAAAGACTTGGACGCTCCTGTCCCCACAGATTTAGATTTTTTTTTTTTTTTTTTTTTGGTGAGGAAGATTGGTGCTGAGCTAACATCTGTGCCCACCTTCCTCTATTTTATATGTGGGATGCTGCCACAGCATGGCTTGATGAGCGGTGTGTAGGTCCATGTCCAGGACCCAAACCCACAAACCCTGGGCCACTAAAACAGAGTGCGCAGGGGCCGGCCCCGTGGCTTGGCGGTTAAGTGCGCGCGCTCCGCTGCTGGCGGCCCGGGGTTCGGATCCTGGGCGCGCACCGATGCACCGCTTCTCTGGCTATGCTGAGGCCGCGTCCCACATACAGCAACTAGAAGCATGTGCAGCTATGACATACAACTATCTACTGGGGCTTTAAGGGGAAAAAAATAAATAAATAAAATCTTAAAAAAAAAAAAAAAAAAAACAAAAAAAAAACAGAGTGCGCAAACTTAACCACTACGCCACCAGGCTGTCCCCTAGATTTTTTTTTTTTCTCTCTGGCTAGAGGAGAGGAAGGCAGGGCCCAGATTCCGTAGACTCCATGGCCCCCTGTGAAGGTCCAGGAATCACATCTTTGCTCATTTCCTGACCACACCCTGGAGAAGCAGATGACAAACACCCCAGACAGCTGTGGGATCTCAAACTAGGGATTACCGCCCCATCCCCAGAGCAAAACCTGCAAGGTAAGGACTGCTGTGTCCAGTGGGGTGGGGGCAGGGGGCCCTCGCAGGTCCCACAGTTGCATGGGGAGCAGGAGCTACCTCATGCCCTGGCCTTGGGCCCAGAGACACTTTAGAGACAGTGACACAGCCCAGCCCCATGGGGCCTGTGTGGACTGGTGCCAAGAAAGTGGGACGCCTCTGCAGACGCGGCATGGACGGGTCACTGGTAAGGGCCTGGTGCTCCTCGTCTAGCTCATGTGTGCTCCAGAAACCCACAGACAACCCAGGTGCCAGTCCTGGTCAGCTCTGGCTGCTATAACAACGTACCATAGACTGGGCGGCTCTTAAACAGCAGACACGTATTTCTCAGTCTGAGGGCTGGAAGTCCAAGATCAGGGTGCCAGTGTGGTCGGGTTCTGGTGAGAGCCTGCTTCAGGGTTGCAGACTGCTCACTGCATCCTCACACGGAGGAAAGAGCAAGGGAGCTCTCTGGGGTCTCTTTCTAAGGGCACTAATCCCATTCACGTGGGTCCCAGGCTCGTGAGGTCCCCTCCCAAAGGCCTCACCTCCTGATCCCATCACCTTGGGGTTAGGGCTTCAACATAGGAATGTGGGGGGATGCAAACATTCTGTCTGTTGCAGAGCCCAAGTCAAGGTTCAGGGGCTAGAGTGGAGCCACAGTGACCATGGGGGCTCCTGCTCGTTCAGTAAACTGCGGCACATAGGAGAAATTAACAAGTAAAGGTTGCACATCTTACACACCTGAGTTTGTGGGCTGAGACTGACTCTCGTCACAAGAGAGCATGTCTGTTCAGCAATCATGATGTTCTAGGGCTGGCTGAGTGCTCTGTGTCACCTTCACTCACAACCTGAGGGCTTGGCTCACACACACTGCACTGTGCCCACGGCCACCCTCTATCCCACACATCACACTCCCTCAAGGAAAAGTATCCCCAGATCGCCTCCCCTTTTCTAAAACTACCACATTTCATCTCTTCTTAGATATTGTTAGGTTCAAGATGCCCCAATAATATCTTAAGTGATGTATCATCAATCTATCAATAGCTTCCTTGATTGATCTTTGCTTTCATCAGTGATTAAGTGAATCAAACAGAAACACAGAAATAATAAGTGCACTTTTTGAGTGCTTATTACACAGGACAATATCTATATCGATATCAATATCCTACATTAGAAGAGACCTGTAGAGCCATTAGAAGCAGCACACAGAAGCATCTAGAACTTCTATTACTTGGTTAAAAATTGTAAATACCCTCCAGGGTTCCAGTGTGCTGATTATGAACACAGGCCTGGAGTCAAACCTTGGTTCTACCACAAATTTGCTGTATGATCTGAGGTAAGTCACTTAAATTCTCTTTTCCTCAGTTGGGGTAAATATTGCAGTAACAGTACTGGGTAATGTTACCTATGTAGGAGTTGTAAGGACCGGGTCAGTAAACATGCAAAGCACCTCTCGGAACCAGACACACAGAACACACTCTGCAAATGTTAGAATCACTGTAGCACCAGTAGATGATGGACAGATACAGATGTTAACAATCTGTGTGATGCAGACTGAGGACACCACCCACACAGTCCTGAGGGTAACAAACTGATGTTTGCGGGGCAGATTTTGTCCTGAGAATGGGTATTGTTCTCGAGGGGAGTTTAGTTCTTATTTCAAAGAAAAGGCTAAATAAAACAAGGTCAGATTTCACATTGGAGCAGAACTACACTTATTTATATGTCCCAGAATAATTTTACACTCATAGACATGTGTCAAATTTATTTTAAAATTTCCCTTTAATTGGTCTATATCAGAGACAATGAGGATAAACCACACACAACCAGGATAAAAAAAACAAAGTGAGTTTTATCTGTTCTAAATAACT